ACCTACACGGCACCTCCACCATCACAGAGCCTGTTGGGACCACTCTTTCAAGAACCACCTCATGGGGGGGCAAGTGGGCATGATGTCATCGCCTCAACTACCAGTGCATCCTGGGGGAGAACACACTGGGCAAAGCGGTGGCCTTGGTCCGCGGCCTCGAGATCTTGACCCTTACTTCATTTCCACACCTCCTCAACAGAGTCAGGGCAATGTCAATCCTTTTTGGAGTGACCCTGGTCGAAGAGAGGCACCAGGAAGTCGCACTGAGCCGGAACAGCCCCGACCTGGAGATAGAAGGAGTCCAACGCAGCAAGAAGTTGAAGCAGTTCGAGAAAGAGTTCTGCGAGAGGCGGAGGAGCGCTTTGCCAAGGAGATTCGCAAGATCTCTGGTGGAGGTGACTCGGCTTCCTTTGAGTCAGCGACAAGCGCTGGGGGTGAACGGGTTCCAACCTACGACAAGCCGAGTAGGCTGGATGCAGGTATTGAAGTTCCTCCAGGGTTGACCGGGGCACCACTCAAAGGCGAACCACAGACCAACCAACTTGCGGTCCCAGAAACTGTTCGAAGTTTGGAGCTGCCGGCATTACCTCATCCAGCAGTGGAAGGTGCAGCACTGCAGTTTGGCGATTGGTTGGTGCTGGTCTACCCCCTGATGTCGGACCTGTCGGCAACGTCTCAGCAGTGGTGGGAAGGAAGCCTGGCCGCAGCGAGACGATTGTATGAGCAATGGTTGGTGGCATCCCCATTGGACAGGTTGAGACTTCGGCCCACGGAAGCTAGGGTGGATCCACTTCATCTCAGGGTGGAGCAGCGAGGAGTGGCCATGTTGATCGGCGTGCTGCCAGAGCAGTTGAGGAGGGACATCATTTCTGCAGGAAGTCCCTCGACGATCAGCATCTTGTTCAGGCTCCACGTGGTGTTCCAGCCGGGAGGAGGTGCTGAGAGGACGATTTTGTTGAAGAGTTTGACGGAGGTCAAGGTGAGCAACAATGTTCCGGACTTGCTGGTCACAATGCGTCAATGGCGACGCTGGCTGCAACGAGCTGAGGATTTAACCCTGACGCTCCCAGATCCAGTCATTTTGATGCAGGTGCTTGGGAAGCTGATGGACTCAGTGTCGAAGCTGGGAGGCAGTCAGATGGCCTACAGAATTTCGACAGTTCGCCAGGAGTTGATGGTAGATCAAAGACCAGAGCTCAGAGCGATCAAAGATCTTGGTGAGTACCTTCAGGCAGAACTGGAGGATTTGTCGCTCATGTCATCGGTGCCCAGGAGCTCTTCGGCAACGGCATCTGGAGGCCAATCCTCAGGGACTCAGGCATTGGCAGTGAAGGCTCTCCAGACAACGTCAGCGGTGGAGGAGGGGCCAAAGATGGCATGTAAGTTTTGGGGCACCACTCAAGGGTGTCGAAGGGGTGAGCAGTGCACCTATGCCCATAATTGGGAGAATATGGAGAAGCAGAATCGGTGCTTCGTCTGTTCAGGTGAGAACCACTTTGCCAAGGACTGTCCAACCAAGAAGCCTAAGGACTCAAAGCGAGTGGCGAAGATAAGAGGCTCGCAAGGGGTCAAGGAGGCCGGGTTGAAGGAGTCGGAGGGGGTGGAAGAAGTAAGAAAGGAGGATGAAGTCACCACGACTACTTCCAAGTCGAGTCAGGGGTCCTTGAAGAGCTCGTCGGCATCCGGGAGTCGGGAGATGGTGAAGGAAGGGAGTGCGGGTGGTGGAGCTCCGTCGGGAGGGGCAGATGCCACGACGGCTCTCATCTCGGAAGCGACCACGCTGCTGAAGTCGCTTCGATCGCTCAAGGCCTGTAAGGTCAAACAGGTGCTACATCCAGCAGTCGGCCGAGAAGAGCTGGTGGCATTGTTGGATGGAGGTGCAACACATCCGCTGAGGACGGCGGCTCCGGGTGAGAGAGATCACTTGGAACCAATACAGGTTGAGTTAGCTCATGGGTCAACAACCCTGTATCGAAAGGAGAACTGCAGCACACTACTTTCTCTGGATGAGGTGGAGCCAATAATTCCATTGAGTTTGTTGGTGCAGCATGGATTCCAAATCCAGTGGGCAAAGGATGGGTGCACCATCAAGCATCCAAGACAAGGTCCAATTCCATGCTGGCTGCGGGGGGGGTTGTCCTGTGATGAATCGCCGACAGGCGTTGGAGATGCTCAGAGAGTTTGAGGAGATGGAGCAAGGTCGAGTGGACATTGAGAAGGAGGACATCGAGTGGTGGATTCAGAACATGCCAGAATTCCCCAGGGAGCTTTTGACCTACATGAAGGGCCAATTGTGGAATCCATCAGGGGAAGAGTTGCCTTGGAACCGGAGACAGAGGAGATCTCACCAAACAGCGAAGGGTGTAGTGGTGCACCTGTTCTCGGGCGCGAACCTGACTCGCTGGAAGAAGACCCTGCCTTCAGGCTATGTTTGGCTGTTCCTGGATACGCAGCTTGGCTCCCGCTTTGATTTGCACTCACCGCCCATCTGGGGATATTTGTGCTCACTGGCTAAGCAAGGTCAGATTCGAGTTGTTTTGGGTGGCCCACCATGTCGAACAACCTCAAGGCTCCGCAACAAGGGACCGCCGGGTCCGCGAAGGGTTCGAGGGCGAGGACATGAGAGATGGGGCATCTCGCAACTGTCAGAGCAGGAAATCCAGATGACAAACCATGATTCGGCTTTGGTGCTCAAGCAGGCTGGCCTTTGGAAGATGTGTCAACAGAGCCCGAAAAGAAGGTTCACCACGGGATTTTTGTTGGAGAGCCCTCAAGATCCTGCAACATACATGGACACACCTGAAGGTCAGGAATCTCCGTCTTTCTTTGAATGGCCTCAACTACAACAGCTGTTGGAGGAGGACGAGAATATGAGAATGGTCTGCTTTGACCAAGGAGCGACTGGACATTGCAGAAGAAAACCCACAGGACTGTTGACCAACCTACCTATGATGGAGCAGCTGGAACACTGCAAGGGGGGGAGGAGCAACTGATCCAATTGGTGGGGAGCTTAGTCAGAGAATGGCAGCATCGAGGAGCTGGTCGGAATGGTCGCCGGGCTTTGTTCGTGCCATCCAGTACTCTCTGAAGGAGATGCTCAACGAGGACGATGACCCCGTCCAGGTGGCGAAATTAGACCTGGATCAATGGCGACGACATGTGAGGATGCAGCATGTGCCGTTTAGACGAGACTGCCGTGCTTGCATCGAAGCGATGGGCACACAACATCCCCATCGGAGATCCAAGACAGCTTCTGCGGCCTTCACCCTGGCCATTGACATCATCGGTCCGTTCACGTCGGTCAAGGACCTTGCTACTGGAAGGATGGCCCGCTACGCATTGCTGGGAACTGTTCCAATTCCAGTTCCAGATCAGCTACCCAGTGCCCCGGAGGTAGAGACCTTGGAGGAGGAGCACCTGGAGGGGATTGAGCCGGTTGAAGGCTTAGATGAAGAAGAAGAAGTTGGAGACCAAGATCCGAGTCCCGGTGACGATGAAGAGGTCATGGGAGAGGCCATGGAGGAGAGTGAGGAGCCAGTGGAGCAGGTGGATCTCGAAGCGATTCAAGAGCTGAAGCGACCTCACGAGCTCCAGAACATCACGATGATAGAGATCTTAGAGGATCGAAGTGTTACGTCGCTGCTAGCGGGACTGTCACGACTACATGCTCGCTTTCGCTGTATGGGCATCAATTTGATGAGGCTTCACAGCGATCGAGAAAAAAGGACTGCTTTCAAGAAGGGTGGCAACATGGTGTGGTCACAGACACATGACCCACACCTTCACACAAGGTGATGATCCCCAAAGCAATGGCAGAGCAGAAGCTGAAGTGCAACAAGTGAAGCGTCGGCTCAGGTTGATCCTTCACCAATCCCAGGTGGAACCTGATCTATGGCCTGGAGCGATTCGACATGCAGCGGAGGAACGGTGCCGTCAGCAACTCCAGCACCTTGGCATTGCAGTTCAACCAATGCATCGCTTCGGGGCCATGGTTGCAGTTCGATCCAAAAGATGGCACAAGGCAGGACAGATTGCAAATCCCTTCGTGTCCATGCAACTGGTAGGTCCAAGCCCATTGATGACAAGTGGCTGGGTGGTGAGACGAAACAACAAAGTCCAACATGTCAGGGC